ATTTCTGCTTTTTAAATCGCAAAAATTCGACAACATTTTTTTCCCCTGATAAAATATTTTTAGTTTGCCCAGATAACTCTGCGAGTTTTAATCAGATTAATCCAGTGGTATGTCGTTTGATGCGTAATTCTAATAGTCTTACCAACAAAGTGATTTTGAATTGCAAACAAGTTCTTGAACGAAATCATACCCTGAAAACTCACAAAAATAGCATTATGTACATATTCCAAAAACCTGCCCATAGAAAAAATCAAAAAAATGCGTTTTGAGGAAATTTTTACTAAATCTTTCTGTACATGACCTCTTTTATATTTTACAAGAAAATTATTTGTAAACCAATGTTATTTAGAGCTTAGAAAGGATTTCAAAAATACTGCATATAATTAGATTTCAACAATATGTCAAATATATCACATCTAAATTTTTTAAAGCTTGTTAGCGACCCCTAAAAATGGTTTTATAAATGTTGAAATTTTCTTAAAAGTAAAGGAAAAAAGTGGGATCCCATACAAACTTTCGGTTTTTATTTTTTAAGAACCACCCTAACATACATAAATACATTTGCGTATCTATCCAAATGTACATGCCTCCGTTTATCCATTCGTTATATACTAGCTCTGTAATTGAAATTGACATTTAAGAATTTATACTGTCTGCCAATGAGTCTTGGTGAAGTCCAACAGCCGTAGAAAGCAAACATTCTATCTTGCTTCTTTAATTTCAACCTGTTAAAAGTCAGTTATGCTCGTTCAATAACAAAATAACGCAATTTAGAAAATGCCAATTGCAATTAACCGATCTTTGATATAGTCAATTAGATTTTTGAATTGATCTATTCAAATGTGATAAAATTTTCCTGAATTAAATACTCCAGCTCTTTCGAAAATTGTATCCAGAAAAAAAAAATTGTGGCGACTTGTCTCTCAAAAAAATTAGACTAGGACTAGTCTTCAGTCTTCATGGGCTACATTTGGTACTGCATTAATGGACCACAACTATTCCTAACGGCTGCAATTAAAATTCGAGTCTAATCGAGCGACAAAATTGTTGGTATTGGTTTCCATTTAATGAATATTTAATCTGATTTTGTTCTACTTTTCATTAAAAAAAAAATTTAAACTTTATGCTAATCTTAAGCATTTTGGTCTAAAAANGATTGGTTTCCATTTAATGAATATTTAATCTGATTTTGTTCTACTTTTCATTAAAAAAAAAAATTTAAACTTTATGCTAATCTTAAGCATTTTGGTCTAAAAATAGTTAAGTTTATCTCATTAACTACAAATACTTAATTTAAAAAATGCAGCAATGCATTTAAATAAATCGCAGCTAACCGCTTTCTTGCCTATTAGCCATGCGGCCTCTGTTGGTTCATTTAGTGAGTGAGTTCGGTCCTTTTGAAAATCTCACCACTTAATTTATTATGCGTCGTATCAGTGGAGCTAAACGATTTACATACGCCATGATTTTCTACGTCCGCTGCAGTGATTCTCTACACTTTTACTCGGTGTCATATAGCTACATACATACCTACATATGTATGTAAATGTCGATAAGCACATTTACATATGTACTGGCATTTCACTTTAAATACTTGTACTATTTTGCATTTCTCTCATTATGCATGTAGTTATGTGCAGTTAAAAATGAAACAAAGCTTTCAAGGCGCCGCTTTTGTTAAACGTTTTTTTGAAGCAGCAGTTGCAGTAGTGCCACGCCAAGTGCAACCAGACATATCAGCTTGGCAAGCGCGCGCCATATCACCTTCACCGCTAATGAAAGTAAACATGAATGACCCCAATTAACGGAATAGAACTGTTTTATGTGGTGCACATGCAAAGCTGCTGCAACGAATTGTGTTTAGTTAGCTGCTGTAGCAGTGGTTAGACCTTGCCTGGTTAGGCTGCTTGAAAAATATGTACCTACTCGATGTCTGTCTCAATGCCTTTTGTAAAATTATCCGCACCGGTGGTTAGCCACAATTGCCTGGGATGCTAGATGCCAAGCCGTATGCTTAGAGAGACAACAACTCTTGGTTGTTGGTAAAAAAGACGAAATCGTAATGGAAAATTGAAAGTTAAGGAATGTATATTTTTGTTGGAAAATAGGTCAGTGTGCGCTGGATCTAAAAATAAAATGTTTTTTATATTTATATATGCGTGTAGATATCATTAACGAGCAAATTAATTGGAAAATTAAGAATTCTAAATTGTTGATTAGATATGCATTTCTTAGATAGAGCCAAAATAGTCTTCAGTAATTAGTGTTTTATGGTTGGCTTTTTCTTAATACTTATACATACACACATACATATGTACATATGTATGTATGTATAGGGTGATTCAAGGGTGATGCAGATATTTGACAGCAATTATTTGTTATTGTTCAACACCATATCTCAAATGTACTCTGAACGGATGTTACCATATTTATCTCGTTGTCTTTGCAGATACTAGGCTCAGTCTTGAAATCATTTGCAACCATGCTGCCTTATTTGCTAATAGAATTTTTGAAAGACGGTTTGAAATCGAAATTAGATACTAGAGTTGTCAAAATATCGATAGCGCTATCGATGTATCGATAGTTTTTTATTTCTATTATCATCGATATTTTTAAAATTTTTAACCCACTTTCGAATTGTTTTTCCCAGCTGACAATGTTACGTATTTCCTATCATACAAAGTGTCGTAGAAAATTTGGTATGTGAAAGGAAAATAATTTCTCAAAAACAAAAAAAAAAACAAAAACCAAAAACTGGTCGAAATGTCACGTTTATATCGTTTTGTCACAATATGTAAGTATGTATGTATGAAGTTTAAATACAAAACTAAGCTATTTTTTATTAATGCCGTAACAAGCCTAGTTTTAATTTGTATCAAAATGCATAGTAACGAAAATACCACAAATACTTGAAACTTTCATATAAAAAGTTTTAATCGATAGTGAGAACTGAAAATTTCGAAAATATCGAATGGCGTCACCATCAATACATAGTTTAACAACTCTATTAGATTCAACCCAAGTTCAATTGAATATAATTTTGCTCACCCTACTTCAACAGTCGCAATGGCCGAGCGTGTAAGCAATGGCGTGCCATTCGAGAGATCTAAGGCCGCGTAGACGGGGGTTTTCCATCGTTTATTTTCTGTCATTTTAATTTGATTTGTTTTAAAAGTTTTCGATTTTATTCTTTTTAAAAAAAGTATATCCATACATATCTATATGTAAATTTTTTAATTTTTTAAAAACTTACTCTTTTTCTTTTTTTTAATTAAATTTTTAGATAATTTTTTTAAATATGTATGTATATCTTTTTTCTTGTTTTTATTTATAAATATTCTTCTCTTTTTGTTTAGTTTTAGATTTAATAGTTTAAAAAGAAAACCATAATTTTTAAGAAATTATTTTAATTCGTAGATTGTACTATAATGTTTTAAAAACTAATCATTATTTTAAAAAGAAAATTTTGTATTTTTAATTTCATTTAATTTTAAAGGGCTTATTTTATTTAATTTTTTTAAATTAATTTATTAACTTTTTTTAAATTTAGTTTAATTCTAGTTTTATATTTTTTTATTTTATAAAGAAATATATATTTTTTAATCTCATTTAATTTATAGAAAACTGACTGCGAATAGATAAACAGAAAAACGCTTAGGCACGGTGCACATTAGAGCGATACTATACGATAGGCGATGCGATAAGCGATGGAATAAGCGTGGGAATTGGTAGGAAACGCTGAAAACTGTACACACTTGCACGACAGCGACACTGCGGCGACATAATATGGCTTGCGTATCGGCCGAGCGACACGATTTGCTATCACGCCGCATATGGTATCGCTCTAGAGTGCACCGTGTCTAAGACCTCCTCATTATCAGAAAGACAGGAAAGATCTTTCAAGATTTATACCAGAATTGACAATTTCTTACGAAAGACTGGAACGGGATATCTACTTAAGATCAATAAACTTTCGAGTAAAAAAAAAATATCTCCTCAAGGCAAGAACATCGATATATCATAATTTAAGATCTGGCTATAATTGCGGAAGATATGAGGAAAAATGTAAAAAGGCACCCCTAAGATCGGCCAAAACTTTAGACTCAGGGGTGCACCGCGAACTTTTTATTTCTGTTTAGGTGGAACGGTCTTTTCTACAATGCACATACAAATATATAAATAAATGCATGCCAGGTATTATGTATGCGCATGTACATATATTATCATCTTGAGTTTCATTTGCATTGAAAACCGTTATTGAAGCTATTAAAATTTTAATCAATTTACGCTTCAATAAAAGTACCGTAAATAAATGTAGATACTAAAAGCTGTAATAAAATATATGTACCAACATATGTATATAGTATATATATGTATGTATGCACGTATGTATGTACATACATATAATCAAATGCAATGACGTACATACTTACCAAAGTATCATTCTTACAACTGTGTTCTTCCTCTACAACGTTAAAGGAGAACACAAAAAAAAGTAGTCTTGCAATATTATTTTTATCTTACCTTCGATGGCAAAGCAACACGCATCGGTGTGCGCATTTTTCGCACAACTGCCCAAACACTTCCTCTCACGCGATGCAACTTCCTTAGATAGCAGCTAAAAGCCATGTCTGCAAATGCAGCCAATACAGATGTATAAAACAACAATAGCCAAGAGCCAACTAACTATGTATGTATATACGTATGTACGTACTTACCTACCTGCGTCAACAACAAAAAGGCCTACGCCATCAAATGCTTTAGCGCTGCATTGGCTCTCGGCACTTGGCTTGACTTAGCGCTGTGCTTTGGCTAAGCTTGTCTTTGGAGCCGACAACTCTGAGCGACGCGCCGGAGCCCACATTGGGGCGTTGCTGTTGTCACTGCGTTGCGATTGCCGCTGCGGCTGCGACTGCGTCTGCGTGCCAAGGCATGGCGCACAAGTGGCGCGTCGAGTATAAATGCGCTGCGGAAGCAGAAAATCAAACAGTTTCGGCCGTGAGCTGAAAGTGAAGCAACATTTGAAGTTCCAACCTTGTTTGATTTGATTTTTTTGGTCTCCTCTTTCATTCGTATCGTTTGGCTGTTGGGCGTCATAGGTAGCGGTGCGAGCAATTGCTTTGGCTAATAGTGAAATTGTTTATATTGCTGCAAGTGTTGAAATTTTTACTTGCTAATTAAATTGAGTACGCAATATTGAATTTGCATGCGAAGGCGTTTGTCAAGGGAAAAAGAAGTAAAAAAATAAAAAATTCATTAACACCTGTAAACAAGTAGCAAGCTGCGACAAGTGAAAATGCGCCGCACTACAACTGGCTTAACGCCTACTCTCGTCTTGTTGATTTTGGCTGCCAGCGCACAGGCCGGACTTGTGCATAGACAAAATCGACATGCGAATTCGATTGCAGTCACCGCACCAGAATTGGGGACAGAGAGTCTGATACCAGTACAAATTATAACAGACGGCCTGCAGTTGGATAACGAAAAGGTCAAGATTCAGTCAGAGCCCCAGCAGGCGGTCAAAACTGAAGAGCTGAAGACGAGTCTGGGAACGGAAGCAGTGCCAGCACCAGCGTTCGCACCTGAAGTGATTGCCGAGAAAATCGTGGAGCCTACTAACACCGTCGACAGTTTGCAAACTGTGGATGCTTTGCAGGACGAACAAATTATTAAGCAGGAAATCACACAGGCGATAGTCGAAGAAAATAAGGAGCTATTACAGGCAGCTGCCATTGCAGAGAAGGGATCAGAGCTGCCGAGTGTCGGCCAGCCGCAGCAATTTCTCAAGCAAGCACAGGAAATCAACACCGAGTTGAAAAATGGCGTGCCTGCCGCCGCTGATGCTGATGCTGCTGCCGCTGCCGCCACCTATTTCAGTGCCCCTGACCTACCGGTTGCCGAGCCCAACTCGGCTGAGGCAGCGATTGGCAGCGATACTTTAAAATCTGCTTCACTGATCGTTGACCCTTTGCCCGCTGAGTCCCAGAACGCCATAGCTGTACAGCAGCTGGTATCGAATGAAGCCGCCGCAGTTTCCGTTTCTGCTAACGATGAGTCTGCCACCGCCAATGAAGTACGTCAAGCTGCAGCTGTTGCCGCAGCTACTCAAGCCACACCCACGCAAACCACCACACAGCAAAACTTTGTGCAACAGCTTATACAAAACTCGCCGCTCGGTCAGTTCTTTGGACAATTAACCGGCCAGCAGCAACAGCAGCAATTGGCTGCGCAAAGCGCTCAGGTAGCTGCCGATCAGCCTGCCACGCCCGCACCCACCTTGCCCGGCTTCCTTAATCCACAGAACGCAATCACGCAAGTACAAAACGCTGCTCAGAGTGTTGCCAACGCCACGGCACAGGCCCTCCAGGGCGTACAGCAATTCGCCACCAGTTTGGGTAACCAGTTTCAGAATACTCTCTCCAGCTTGGGCGGTCAGCAACAAACCTTGAGCACCGCCGACTCGACCACACCGCGTCCGCCTGGTCCCATACAGTCGCTAATTAGTAATTTTGTTGGCGGCAATCCACAAGCTGGCGGTGCAGCAGCTGCTGGCAGTGACACACCCAACCCCGCTCCATCTCAACCACAAGGACCTCTTCAAGGTATTATAACCTTCTTGCAAGGCGGCAATCGGCCGCAAGCCGATGCTAGTGCAAGCGGTGGCGCTGCTGTCGTTGCACCCGTTCCTGCTGGCTCCATTATAGCAGCAGCAGCAGCACCAGCAGGTGCGTCATCAGATAGCGTGAACAAAGAAGAGTTGACTGATGCTGCAGTGGCCGAAGAACAAGCGCAGATTGATCAGACTGATAATGAAGTGCGTAACAGCGCTGAAGTTGGGGAGGACTCATTGGAAGACAGCAATCCTGATCAGTTTATAATTGTGAATGATGACGGCAGCGAGCTGAATCAGAAGGAGCACGAAAAGGTGACGGCGGTTGTGGCTTAGTTGGGAAAAAATGTGCTAAATACGTAATTAATATTAGCCGTTTAGATTGCATTTTTCATTGCCATTCGATAAATGTCGTTAAACGCGCGTTGGAGATTTTATCAACTAAGTCGCGAAGACTGACTAAGCGCCATTCGATATGATCATTTTCGCAACATTTTTTTTATTTATATAAAAATTTATTTTAATTTATAAACTTAGTTTATACGCTAAATATCATTGTAAGTCCATCAAATTCTATTTATTTCACACATGACTGTACTTTTCAACGAAAGTCAATATCTAATAAATTCAAAAGAAATTAAATATCGTAAAATTTTTGCTGTTTTCGGCATGGATTTTGGGCGATTTTTTACGAGTATAAGCAACGAAAAAAATAGATGTAAAAAAAATATTCCAAATTTATTGTACTCGTGGAAGAATTAGCTTTGGCATCATAGGAAAATTGTAAAGGAAAGCAATTGCGACTATTGTTTATTTCACAGAAAAACGAAAATCCTCTAACTTTCTCTTCCAGGTGTCCAGCGTACATTTCCCAGACGTTTAAAAAAGGTCAAAAATTGTTTCGCTATTATCTTAATCTTAATCTTAATAATATTTAGGGGATTCACAAGACGTGTTAACCGTCGTAAAATCTTAAGCTTAACACTTGTTTATGTAAAATAGCGGTTAAAATGGTTGGAGGGTTGGCTAATTATATATTCTTTATCAGTTTAAAAGAATTTCGGTTTAGTTAGAAATCCCCTAAAACCATTTTAATTAAAAAAGATGTTAACCTTAAGATTTTACGACGGTTAACACGTCTTGTGAATCCCCTAATTATACATGTGAATGTAGCGATGTTTGGATGTTCACGCTTCTGTTCCTCAATCACGTGAGAATGGCAAGACGGATTTTCTTGAAATTTGACATCCAGACAGCTAATAGTCTGGAAGGAAGTATAGGCTATCGATATTTTTCGATAAATCGATATTTTTCGATAAATTTATCGATAACTGAGCTATTGGGTGTATTTGTTCAATATGGGTATCAAATGAAAGCTGTTCATGAATGCTTTAAGATTGAGCACTTTTCATATAGCTGGGTGACTAGGGTCTCGAGATATAGACCAAAACGTGGACCTGGGTAACCTTGGGTGTATTTTTTTAATATGGGTATCAAATGAAAGCTGTTCATGAATGCTTTAAGATTGAGCACTTTTCATATAGCTGGGTGACTAGGGTCTCGGGATACAGACCAAAACGTGGACCCGGGTAATCTTAGGATGTATTTGTTTAATATGGGTATCAAATTAAAGCTGTTCATGAATGCTTTAAGATAGAGCACTTTTTATATAGGT